TGCCCTCTGCTGGTGCCTGGCTGACAGTGCCCCCTGCCCCTGCAGCTGGAGCTGGAGGCCTACGAGCTGCCCCGGCCCAGGGGTGCCCGGCGTCAGCTGCTGTTTGACACAGAGACCCAGATCCCCCGTCACGAGCTGCAGCGCCAGCTACTGGATCCCCAGGTCCACTGCCGGCCTCTGGTGAGCATGGTGTAGTACCCAGGCATCCTCCCCATTCTACCCCCAGCTTCTTGAGTAGGCAGAGGACCCAGGCATCTGGGTGGCTCATGCCAGCGCTGTTCCCCTAGGTGCTGCTGGAAGCCCCGGGCCTGAGGAGGCAGAGCCCCGCTGAGCTGCTCAGTGCCCCCACCTATGGTGAGACCTGCCCCCTGCCACCTGCACCTCCTCCCCTCTGACCTGCTGTGACAGCTGCTGCACTCCAAGAATCCAGGCATCCGGGTGGGCAGAGTCCAGCCCTTCCTCCCTGCCCTTGTGCTGGGAGTGGGAGAGAGTAGGCAGAGCCTTCCAGGCTGCCTCTGAGGGGCTGACAACCCCTGCTTATGCTCCCTGCTCATGCCCCCATCCACACCCCACTGTTCATGCCCCTGCTGATCTTGCCTGGTCACTCCTGCCCCCCCACAAATTCATGTACCTGGCTCCTGGCTCCTCACTTCAGGCCCCCCAGCTTATAGCCCTGGTTCATACTGCCAGCTCATACCCTCTGTTGACTCCCCACAGCCCTGCCCTCCAGTGCATACCCCCATTCACGGCCTCCCATTCACCCCCCCATAATTCATGCCCCACTATTCTTGTCCCCCAACCCATACCCCTACCATTCATACCCCACTGTTCAGCCCTGGAATCATGTCTCGTGTCGTTCGTGCCCTCCCTGCTCGTGCTCTCTCATTCATGCCATCCCAATCATGCACCCTCAACTCCTGTCACCCCCACATTCATGCCCCCCAGCTCATAACCCCTCCCTCTGCTCATGGTACCCCCCAAAGCTTCTCCCCCATGCCCTTCAGTTTGTGCCCTGCCAATTAATACCCCCACTTTCATACCCATTTGTGCTCCTGCATTCAATGACTTCCCACCCATGCCCGCCTCATATGACCCCTCATGCCTCCCCATTCATGCATCCCACTCATCCCCTGCCACTCGTGCCCCCCCACTTATGCTCCTCCTATTCATGCATCCCAAGTTTTGACCCCAATTCATGCTCCTACTCATATCCACCCCCATGCCCCACTCTTGCTTCAGTTCATGCCCCCACTCATGCTCCACTGGCAGGGGGTCGGACTCAATGATCCATTGAGGTCCCTTCTGACCCTAGCATAGAATCATCATAGAAGTCGGGTGGGAAGGGACCTTGTAGATCTTCAAGTCCGACCCCCTGCCTGGACAGGAGGGAAACTGGGCTCAAGTGACCCCAGCCAGGTAGGCATCAAGACGCTTCTTAAAGACCCCCAGGGTAGGAGCCAGCACCACTTCCCTTGGAAGTTGGTTCCAGATCCTAGCCGCCCTAACTGTGAAGTAGTTCCTACGGATGTCTAATCTGAACCTACCCTCCAACAACTTGTGGCCGTTATTCCTTGTTATCCTGGGGGGCGCTAGGGGAAACAAGGTCTCCCTCAAACCCTTCTGGTCCCCCCTAGTGAGTTTATAGACAGTCACCAGGTCCCCCCTCAGCCTTCTCTTGTGAAGGCTGAACAGGTTCAGGTCCTGTAGCCTCTCGCTGTAGGGTCTGCCCTGCTGTCCACGGATCATGCGGGTGGCCCTCCTCTGGACCCTCTCAATGTCGTCCACATCCCTCTTGAAGTGGGGTGCCCAGAACTGGATACAGTACTCCAGCTGTGGCCTGACCAGTGTCGCGTAGAGGGGGAGGATCACCTCCTTGGCCCTACTTGAGATGCACCTGTGAATGCACGATAGGGTCCGGTTGGCCCTGCCGACCGTGACCTCGTATTGTCAGCCCACGTTCATCTTGGAGTCAACGATGACTCGAAGATCCCTTTCTGCCTCCGTGCTCTCAACGGAGTTTCCCATCTTATAAGTGTGCTGCCGGTTACTACTGCCCAAGTGCAGCACCCTGCACTTGTCAGTATTGAAATGCATCCTGTTTTTGTTAGCCCTATGTTAGTATCTATGTTTTGTTAGCATCTATGAATCTATGCATCTATGCTCCACTCATTCATGCCCCAATTCATGCCTCCCCATTTATGCCGTGCCACTCATGCCTCTCCATTCATGCCCCAACTCACACCCCCCATGCCCCCTCATTTATGACCCTCCCATTATGCCCCATTAGTCCCTCTAATGCATGCCCCTTCACTCATATACTCGTCATGCCCCCTACTTATGCCCCACCACTCATGCTCTCCCATTTGTGCAACTCATTCATGACCCCCATTCATGCTCTTCCAATAACACCTCCCCACTCACCCTCCTATACGTGCCCCCATTCATGCCCCGTACTCATCCCCCACTATTCATCTCCACTTTTACTCCCACACCCCCATTCAGGGTCCCCATTTATGACCCCCCAAATTCACCCCTCCATTACTGCTTCCAACGCATGCCCCCCTAGTCATACCCTCCATTTGTGCCTCCCCATTCATGCCCGTTCACCTACACCTGGATACACCTACTTATGCCCCACCCATTCATGCCCCTCCAGGCTGGTTGCCCCCTGAGCTGCAGGAGTTGTGGCAGCGCTGCGCCCACTTGCAGCAGGTTGACTATGCAGGGCTGCGGGAGGCCGAGGAGCCGCGGGCCGAGCCCCCCAGTGAGCTTGAGGTACCAACAACTCCCACCCATGCCCCCCTGTCCCACAGCCCTAGAGCGGGGGGACTCTAGTATCCAGGAAGTACCCTCCCTACAAACCGCCCACCTCCTGAGCTTGGGGACCCAGGCATCCAGATAACCCATGTCCCTCCACTCCCCACAATGCCTTTCCACAGCTGTGTAACCCAGGCACGGTCTCCACCCCACCAACCCCTGCCTTCCAAATTTCCTTCTCCTGCGGGGGCCAAGACCCCTGATGTTTGGGCTATCTCCCCCCCGCAAGCATTGTTCATCCATGTGTCTGCAGGTGCCGCGGGAGGTGCTGGAGCCCAGCCTGCCACCAGCTGTGTCCTCAGGTGAGTGTGGGGGCCGTGGGGGGCACCCATGGGAGCTGGGGGCAGATCCCAGCTCATCTAACCCCGTCCTCCCCCCTGCAGAGATCTCGCTGGAGACCACCGAGGAGGAGCCAGCGCGGCCCAGCCTACTGCCCCCTGAGGAGCGGAGGTGAACCCCCACCCCTGGCGCGCTCTAGTGCTCCCTATTCACCCCAGTGCCCCACTGACCTCCGAGCCCTGGCCTCATTCACCTATTACCCCAGTGCCCCATGCTCCCCCCACCCCACCCCATTCACTTTCTCACCCCCCCCACATA